TAGAAAATGCCTATAAATGTCATCTATTTGATGCAATTCTCACTAATTATGCATATTCAACCATCGGATGTCATTAATATGAGGTGTCACTTTTATAGAAATATAAATAGATTTATTAGTTCATGGGACAACCAAGTCATCTCTTCCTCTTGTATCATATTTGTGTATCTGATGGTTATATGTAATTAATTCATTGAAGTAATGTGGTGCTTTTCCAGTGAGTATTTAAAATATGAATATCATAGAAAAATATTGTAATCTATCTTTTACTGTCATCCAAATTCAGATTATATTATTAATCATTGATAATATAGGAATATATTTATGGCATTTTAATAACAAATGCATTTCTCTGTTTTATAAACAGTCAAATTAGATTGGAATGATAGTTGTCTACTAATTCTAGTAAAGAAAAACATTTTTTTAGAAGTTTTATTACACATATACTGGAAATATTTTTTCAAGTTCAAAGTATTATCAACGATGAAGCCCAGGTATTTGAATTCTTCCACAATTTCAATAGTTTCGCCGTATTAACGGAGTTGATATCAATTAAGTTATATTGATATTGGGTTGTCAATATCATAGCTTTTTTCTATATCCCATATAACATATATACAGAATACAAGCATTTTGGACTTTCTGTATCCTAGAGCGAGCCAGATGATCAAGACAAGGGCCATAAACAACATCATAACAGTTGAATATTAATGATTCACTTAGTGTGATATTAATTTTTCATTGAATTAATGCCTATTGGAGTATAATTTTCTCAGTATAGCTTAAGAGCATCCTATTAGATATATGTTTTATAAATTCAAAATTGTGATCAATTATCAATCCTAAGCATTTTACTGTATCACTGTAAATCAAAATTTGATCAACTTGTAAAGATATTATCTATGGCCCTTTGACGATCTTAATTATTTTCAAAAATTGTGGCTGTTGATTTGGTAGGATTGATGGTGAGTGAATGATCTTTGAATATTTCAACTAATTTTTTATATATTAATTCGGATAATTTTTTAGCTACTCTCGATGTCATCACTGAAAAATAAATTGGTGTCACTGGCGTGTGTTTGCATTTGAAATTTATTCAGAACATTTGAGAAATCTGAAGTGTATAGTGAAGAGAAGGGAAGCAAATACTGATTCCTAGGAAGCTTAACAACGTAATGAAATACATGATCTACACATCTTTATTTGGAGTTAATTTTTGAAATTAATTGCTTCCTTCCTTCCTTTGGAAGGTTCCCAAATTTTTTGCATAAAGATGGAGAAGTAGAAAGCCAAAACCTTTCTTTCCTAGAAATACTTACATTTGTAGTGTGTTTTATGATTTTCAAGAGATTCGGGCTGGTCATGTCTTTGTTTTTCTTGGTCCACACGGCTCCAACTAGTTCTGAAGGTTTAATGGTTCTAAAAAGATCAAATTCAAGGATAGTAAGTTGTCTAGCTATCTCTACCGGATGTAATGTCAGAATTCCATACTCCTCTTCTGTGCAAATTATATGCCTTTCAATTGGTGGGGGTGGTTCGTCAAATGCAAACTTGATGTGCCTTTGGTTATCATTCTCCATCTGAAAAGCATTCATTTTACTATGCAAAACTAAATATTTTCTTCTGGTGTTTACCTTCCTTTGTACTATTTTTATAACACTGTCAACCCATTTCTTCATGCTCTTGCCATTTACAGAGTCCAAAAAGTTTTGTAGATTAACTAGAAGTGATGCATCTCTTTCGAAATCATAGAAATGATGATCCACCCAATGGCGCAAAACATTCAACACCCTGAAGTAAAAACGAGTTTCAAAAATACATCACACTAGCAGCTACTGATAATGGTATCATATTTTGAGTTAACCAAGTTCATTATCAACTAATTAATGATCATGGATGCAGTACTAATAACTTTTATGCAGTTAGAAAAAATCATTCTCCAAATTCAAACATGAAATTTCTGGAGCAACTCTCAGAAGTCTTCAATAGACATGTATGAGCTACAAAAAGATGAAGATGCTATTCATTATTCTTCCGGAAAAACGTTTAGAGAGCTATTCTACAGAGACGCTATTCCCTAAATAAAAGAGTTCTTTAATGTTCGAGGTGTGTTTAGTTGAACCTCGACGCGAAGGGCAGATGTATTTTGTTGAGTATTTCTGATATAGCACTCTCAGGGGAATCAAGCCAGCTAAGAGATGCAAAAGAGAAACATGTTCCAAGCTAGTGAAGTTATTTGTGCTGTTTAGGTCGTCAATCAGTCGGATGGCTCTTTTCTGGATAGAATGGCAGCCTCAAGGTATACTTAAGAGTGAAGTTATTCGGAAACCGTGAGAGATGCAAAGTCGTTTGAGTTAGAAAAAATTCGCCGATTTTAGAACTTATTTGAATGAGGTTCTAAAATTTAGAGAATTGTGATTGGTTCCCGAAATATTCGGAAAGAACAGAAATTGGCCAAGCTGTACGAGATGACCTCTACAGATTTTTAATAGAAAGTTCTGTCTCCGAGAAACCACCAATTTTAATTTTTTATATAGACCAATGTCCATATTAGTAAACTCTCTTGTAAAGTTGGTAGCAGTATATACTAATTCCTTGTCAGAAGCATCTGGTTTTACAATGGATAGGATGGAATATTCTTCTGTTTGTTTAAACAAAGTTTCCACCCAGCCTTTACCATGGACATCATTTATGCCTTCTCACGTAGTTCATGTTCTCTCTGTTCATTTGAATAAATTTGTTCCGTTTCATTAAACTTCATCCTCAAATTCCAGGGTTAATTTTGTAGCATGCATGTAACAAACTTCTTTCTCTAATTCGTCTATCTTCCTCATTAATTCATTAATTTTTTCAAGTTTCTCATCTTTCTTCTATTTGGTTTGAAGTTTCATCTCTTTGGATTACGTCTTTCTTCAATTTTTTAATATTATTCACTAGGATGTCTGCATTTTTTTCTTCTCTGAATCCTTCAGCTCGCATTTTAGGGAACAGTAAATTTTGAAACCACCAAGTTCTTTATATTTATTTTTTCGGTCCAAACAACTTGGATGAATAATGTCCAAATATGTAATACAAAAAAGGTTTCCAAAGTCTTTCTTACAGCATTTGAATTAACCCTCCATTTGTGTAAATTTGTACGCCACTGGTGGGTGTTTGAATTACTTTAGAGCCAACAAAAACTCTCTACATCCGCACTTTGTACAGACAATAAATACTCACTTATCAGCGTTGTTACTTTGATTCAGGTATTATGCACAAAGTCTGTAATAACTGATCAATGAAGAATAATATCACTTTCAATTTTCTTGCAGTAGGTTCACTGTTCACTATACTTCGTTTTGATATACATTAGATATGAAAATATATTGTTACCACTAGAAACTCGCAGCTTTGTGGAGCAAAAAACATTCCAACCAACTTAGTCTATCTACTATACTACCATGATTAACAGAGTAATGACGGTAATGACAGAGTAATGACGGTATATGTCAATATTAACACATATTGTTACTAAAATAGATTCTTTCAAACTATTTTTTCGTGACTAAATATTAATAACCTTATAGGAAATCACTACTCATTTTCTTTTCAATAGAAAAACAATCACAGACCTGTTGATATCTTCAATGAGTGCATCAGTAACTATTCTTATTAAATTTTTATTTATTCATTTATTTTTGGTAACATCCTAATACTTCTCATTTTTAATTATTCAACTTTTATAAATCTTTGATGTTACCGTATTGACTTTTTAAAATAACTATATATTATTTTTTATTTATTAATTGATTATTACTTCATACTAACACTAGCTTTATGTATTATATTTTTAATGAACGTTTATAGATTAGGGTGACCTAAATAAATAAAATACTACTACTACTACATAACAACGAATTATTCTATAATAGTTCTCTCACCTAAACTGAACTGGCTGACAATACTCCTTCCTATACTTTTTCCAGTCTTCCCTTTGATTATTCTTCTGCATCTTATCTGTATCACAACAGTCTTGTTCATAAACCAGCGAAGGATCAGGTATTTTAAAACGTTGAATCAGTAAATCCAAAAGTTCAGTAGGTGAACAAAAACTTCGATAGGTTGTCAAGAAGGTTCGTACAAACTTAGGATCAGCATAAATGTGGTACGTCAGTCTTTCAACAAGTTTATATATAGTAGCACCCTAAAATTGTACTTGGTAATCTGCAGTGCATCTGGTAAAACCCAATTTTACCTTTATCAAAGGAACTCCACCGTTTTCCCTCTGCTCTAAAATTATATTTTCTTCGGAATCTGGTTCAGCAAACTTGTATAGTTCAGGAGGAGGTAGTTTGAGAGGATGCTTTCTCTCTATGTCCGACAAGATGCTGTCCAGAACTCTCTCCAACATGGATCTGAAAATGGGTAAGTTTTTAAATTTGCACGATTATCAATCTCAATAAATACCCCACCTATTATTCAACATTACTAAATCAGCCATCCACGAATTCTTTTCTTCGGGGCATTTGGCGCAGAGTATAACGGAAGGCATCTGTCTTGGAGATATTTCAAATGCATTTTTTAGCTCCTCCGAATCAGGGTGGTCAATTATTTCCACTTTCCTAATGAAAAATCTTTCTTTTAGTCTGCATTCTGGATGATTTTGATGATGAACTGAGCTCTGCCTTCTATTATTTGGTTTGCAGAGTATCATCAAACCGTCAAAGAGAAATACTCGTCTTTCCGTCAGTCTTTTATTAGAGCTTACTTTAACTAAAACATCTTCCCTAACAAATTCATTGCAACACTGTCCCAAATCTTTAGAATCCCAATTCTCTACAATCTTCTCTAACTCATGGATTTTGATAATAGCAGCTTGGAGCCTCTCCCTCACCTGGGGTAAAGGGGCGGAACTTCTCAGAAGGTTTTGAGTTGGAACACAATTTCCTAAATGAAAATTTGAACTGTCAAGAAGGTTTTAAAACTGGTGCAAATACTAACCGAGTGCTATCTGAAGGGGTTTCAGTAGTCCTTCAACTTGGGTTAATGTCTCTCTATCTTCTGAAGATGGTGACAAATCTGTGAGTAATTTGATATAACTCAGGTAGGAAAAGCAGTGCCAAATCGGACCCATAAGAAGAGCTGGCAAATAATAACGGACCGCTAAAGGCATTCCTTGTCCAGCAGTGTTCAAGGCACTCTGAACCTCAGGACGGGAGAGTAAATTGTTTAGCGTTTCCCGGCAGCATGGCGATGTTATATCCCTACAGTATTTTATGTAAACGTCAAATTCCGCTGCTTCGGCAAGTTCTGAAATTCATTATATTTGTATTGAAGGGGTTATATTTTTAGGAGTGATTAATTTTTGGTAAAGTTTTTAGCTTTCTACTACTCCATCTTAATATAAAAAAAAAGAAAGAAAAAAAGGGGGGGAATCTTCCAAAGAAAGGAAGGAAGTAATCAATTCGAAAATAAGTAACTCTATACATGGATGTGTAGATCATGCAAAGAAGTAACTTTCAGACACAAACTGAAAGAAAGTCCTTCTGAAACAGCTAGTTTCATATAAACATTGAATTACACGAAAGAAGAAAAAAATTATTTTGAAACAAATACTTCCATATGAACACTGAATTATACAGAAGATACTTTTCTCTACTCAGTTTGTATTTCAAGCATTCGTTGTGGAATAAAAATCAGGTATCATTCACATGAGTTCTATTTTAAATGAATGGTAATAAATTGCACTTACATGGAACACTGTCATCCTCACTGGTATACATCGATGTATACCATTGAGATGGAGTAGTAGAAAGCCAAAAACTTTCTTTCCCAAAAATTATATTTGTATTTCAAAACCGTTAAAAAAAGCGAAAATAAATCTAAACTATCAGCTTGAAACACAAATGTATTGTCGATAGTTGGGTTTATATCAAGGTTTGTACTCGATTTCTTCAAGGCCAGTACTTTGCATCTTGTGTTTAGTGAAACAGAGCCGTTAATCGTGTTTGAATTAACCATTATTATCAAAAATCCATACTTGCTGACATTGACTAAATATTTCAAACTTTTGTATGATTATATTGATAACTTTTTCCAAATTGATGACCAAGAAATAATAGATTTTATGAAAATGAATGAAACACAAACTAATTAGGTAACCAAATGTTAAATTAGACAGAAACAATTCCAATTTCAAACATGATAAATTTTCGAATTTTGCATTGAAAGATAATCGCCATTAAATTTATTTTAATCGGGTTCTACAGTAATGGCCTTGTAATCAAAATGATATTTTCAGAGACAATTTGGATTTGAGAAAGTACTCTATCAAAAAAATAAGGTAAATTTTCTAGACCTTATTCTGTGAAAAGCTTATACCTCTTGTAAACATTTTTCTGACTCGAGTACAATCACTGTCAACACTTCAAGTATTTTTGAGCACTTAATTCAATTTTTATACAAAATTTGATGCAAATTATTTGATCTAGTAGCTCGCGAAATTTGAACATTCATCAGCCCACGTATATTATATTGTTTAATATATCTGGAGTTCATGGTATCACTTAAATTATGATAATTTATGTCTTTTTGACTTATTTACAATTCATTTTACTTCAAAATCTTATGAATATGGCTAGATCCAACAATTATTCATTTGAATTGGTGTAGATAGCACAGGACTCTCAGTAATTAAAATAGCAAACGCATCTCTTGAATTAAAGAGTCAACTGGACTGTCCCCACCTTTTTTTATTTTTATAAGGAAAAGTATTAGGAGTCAAAATCAGTATACTAACCTTCAAAGCAACTGCCAATGTAAGGCATCTGATCTTGTGCCATTTCAATAACATCTTCTAAACTTCCTGACAAAGTATATGTCAGTTCGTAAATATCCATTATATTGGAAAAAATCTTTTCTATATCCTGAGGTTCTGGTTTCAACTTGATGATTTCTTCCCTAGAAGAGAAGCCATTGCCATCTCCTCAGTTCATATTTCCATGAATCATTATTTCAAATAAGATAAAATGTGTGGAATATATGAAAGATATGAATAAATATAACTGGAGAAGTATATAGAACAGTGAGGTTATTCTGCTTAATAGTTACATAAGTGGCTATAGATATCTACATATCTATGCAGTCCCAAAAATGACGTCTATGCTATAACAATTTTCAATTGAAGGTAACTCATATACAAATTGAACTGAGAGCTAACGGCAACAATGTTAAATGTTAGAACTACATTCTTACCGGGGTCATTTTTATTGTCTATGCATCGCCATTGTAAATAATTGAAAAGTAAGATGATTCCATAAAATTTGCCTCCGTAACAAGATAGCTTCTGCATATCGATAGGATGTACGAGGGAATAGGTGAACCAGTTAAATACTTTGAAACATCAGTAAACTGATCTGATCAACACTTCGCAGGTCTATTATATTTGCGTCCTTAAAATGCCATAACTAGTCATTCGGTTTCTTCATTATCAAGCGTCCTTATCTGCATAGGCGTAGTGTGTTCTGTTTCTTGTGAAGGTGATTTTGTTTTGTATTTATTAAATATATTTTATTAAATTTATTGAATAGACTGTTATATTTATTAACTTTAAAATATAAGATAGAGTTGGTTTCTTGAGTTATTTCTTTTGTGGTGATTGAGATACCAGCCAGTTCTGTTTGGACCACGCTGGTATTTCTGGTGGAGGAGTAAATAATTGTAAAAAACGTGCTTAATAATACTTGAACGGCCCCTAATTGTTTGTACATGTCATTTTACTAGAAAATGCCTATAAATGTCATCTTGATTGTTCTAAAAATTTCTCAAGAAGTTCATCAATGAAAACAGTACTTATTCATCTCAAATGTTCGATATACTTTTAGTCTCCATTGATGTTAATGGGTATTCCATTCAGTTTTTTGCATAGATAATATAGTTAATTTATTGAATTTGTATTCATGACAAGTACATGCTCACCTACCTAAATACTTTTATCAACATATGAAGCTCCTTCAGATATGCTTTTTCAGAAGCAATTAGTTCTCTGACTATTTCTTCGTAAGTTAAACTCCTTCTAGGTGCAGTAGGCACGATAACAGGAGGCTCATTCTGACATCCAGCCCCTCCTCCTTCATCTTGGTAAAACATATCCATAAGTGCCTGTAACGTTATAGGGGTAAAAAAAATCAATTAAAGAGTTAGCAATCTACATCATTTCTCCTTTTTAAAGTTACAAGACAATACAAATAACTTGGAAATAATTTTTTTGAAATGATAACTGTACAATCCAAAACTGTCAAAATTACCTTGGATATACAGAAGAAATATAATAATACTGTCTCGAAGAAACTATAGAATTTTCCAAAAAGGGAGTGTTCTGTATGATTACTATTATTACCACAACAGAGCAACTCACTGATTTTCAATAGCACACCCTAGTTCTGCTTCCAGAAATCCTATAAAGACTATATACCTTTGTATCCCACAGTCTGACTCCCAAAATTATGGTTCAGTCAGCTAGCAAATATTTAAATCAGAAGATTTCAGATCAGATGCATTCCCTGCTTGGGAATACAGTGAGGCCACCATACTATCAGTAAATTAGTCAAGAGATATGGAAAACTCAATCATAAACACAAGCAGTAAAAAAAAGTATTGTAATCATGTGATTGGAACAGACATTGGTGGAAACAAATTTTCGCATATTGATTAAAGGAACTATCATTTTCATGTCTCAAAATAAATAGGATTCTTGAACGGAAAGTTGGATGACACTCTATATCTGTGTAAAAAGTCAGATACGACATTACAGAAAAAAATCACTGGATTATCAGTTTGAGAGATTTCTTGAGACATGACATGAAACCTTCAAAGGGACCAATATCATGCTGATTTATGAATGGAGTTCAACGAAAATAAAATAATGATAAAAAACTTTTAAAACAAGCTTTTATTTAAGTGCCCTAAAAAGATCAAAATAAAATTTTAAATCACATTAACCACATTCATTAATGACTTCACAGAATTGAAATTATAATAAAAGCTTGTCGCGATGCCTAGAAGAAATCTCTACATATTCAGTCAGATGAAATTTGAATTAAGAAACATTCTGACAGATCAACTAGGTACTGCAATAAATTTCAAACCCGATAAATCCTATGTGTGCAAAAAAGTTATTCAAGGTTAAAATTCCACATTTTAAGCATTCACAGCACTTTTATTTAATTACAAACATTATACATTGCTTAAAGTTTAGTAGGTGCCTACCTAATAACAAAATTTCAATTACAAATTGAAATTATCGCGACAAGCTTTTATTTTAATTTCAATTCTGTAAAGTCATAATGAATGTGATTAATGTGATTTAAAATTTTATTTTGATCTTTTTAGGGCACTTAAATAAAAGCTTGTTTTTAAAGTTTTTTTATCATTATTTTGTTTTATATTTTTAGTTTCAATCGATAGTTATCGATCAATACGACAGTTCATCTATGAAACGGAGATCCCTTCAACAGAAAAACTTAGGGAACGGGGAAAACTATTATTAGGATAAACTATATTCTGTAGAAGTAGGTAGGTACCTACTCTTCCTCCCAGAGCTTCGTTTAGCAGGGTAAGGGCTAATATACAACAGGGTGCGCTCCGGTGCCCTGAGGTGGTACGTTCACGACATCATTTTACACCCTGATGCAACTCAGTCCTCGGCACGGCCTCACCTTGACTTGGGTGGTAATTTGGTGAAAGATACGCCACTTTTTTCAGCTTAGAGCTTACTCGTGCCTTCTCCTAGACGGGTTGCAGACCAATGCTAATGACGCCCATCTCACCAAATTACACAAGTCATGGTATGCCTCTTGTGCCTGTTGCTCACATTGCGTGATGGACCCTCTTACTCTGGGAACTTAGAGGGTGGTAGATAATAATATTTTTTTACAATGCAAATAAATATGGTTTCTTACAACCTACTACACCATTTATTGTCTTCTTTTTAGAGTCGGGAAGTAGGTATTTAAAGGTAAAAGCTTGATTTAATTTTTTTTCTAGAAATAATTTTTTTTATTGAAGCCAACCCTGGATGTGGCATCTATTTCATGGTGGGCCTACCAACTGCCTATCATAAACGAATGTGTATACAAAATTTCGTGTCCCTGCTATTTACCGCTGAGGAAATCTCTCGTACGGAGCCGATCCTGGCAGCAGCATCATGACACGTTTATGATTTACATGCATTGTCATCGGTTCCGGTATCCAATCGGATACCGGAAGATATCGGAGTCGGTCAAATTAAACTTGCAAGATTTGTTAACATACATACAAGTCAAATTAAAGAAAAGCTTTTGAAAAAGGCATGGTTCCTGAAGTTTTTAATTGGAATATCAAACATGATTCGTTTCAATAATTCTCGATAGTTATTTAGTCAATTCATCAATTTGTGAATAAAGTACATGTTGCATCGAAAGTTTTGTCCGCTTTAATATCATGTGATTTGGAGCTCCATATCTCAATGAATATTTCTTCTTCTATGAGGTGGTATATATTGATAAATAGAGAATATTGTACTCTACATTGAAGCTGTTCATTTTTTTCCAAATTTTAATTTTTTGCCTCTTTTCAGCGTATTACTCTATGATGTCATTAAGCAATTTTTTACCAATTTTTCTCTACGAATTTAAATTGAACCAATGCGCTGCCGAAACAGACCAAAAAATGAACCAGACATTTGGCAGTGATAGTGTTAATGAACGAACTGTTCGACGTTGGTTTGAGAACTTTTGTTCCAGGGATTTTAGCCTCGAAGATGAGCCCCGAGGTGGTCGACCTACAGTAATCCAGGACGCGGATTTGAGGTGGAGACTGACCCATCACAAATGGTGCGACAGATGGCAGAACCAAAACGATCTTTTTTGAATCAGATCTTTACGTGTGATGAAAAGTGGATCCTCTCTGACAACAGGAGACGTTCAGGACAGTGGTTGGACTCCAATGAGCTACTCGGGCACATCCCCAAGGCAAAAACCCACCAAAAAATACCATGTGATTCACTATAACTTTCTGCAACCGGGTGAAACCATCACAGTAGAGTGCTATTGTGAGGAAATCGACGAAATATATCTAAGATTGCGTCAGCAGCAGCCGGCCCTGGTCAACAGAAGAGGTCCGATCCTGCTCCACGACAACGCCCGTCCGAATGTTTCACAAATCAACATCTGAGAATTAAAGGAATTTAGTGTCAAAGTTCTGCCTCAGAACTGGTAGAACCTTTATAACAAGGTACCTGAATCTCTCAGAACTCTGTCTTCTGTAATCATGAAGAATAAATTGAAAACTTTGCTTCTCTCCAAAGCTCATTATTCGCTGGAAGAATTCTTCAATGATAATTTGAACTGATGTTGTTCGAGTTAAATATTTCATGTCGTATCATTCTGCATTGTGATGTAGTTTAGTCTCTTTTGAACCCTACATATAGATGTATATGTTCGTGTTCTGTATCTAATATAACAATATTACATTAAGTATATTGACTGTGATAACCTTGTTATTTATACATCTGTGGCCATTTATATTCTTGACAGAGCGTATCTTCCTAGACTTACAGAAAGTTAAAACCTGGTGTGACTCAAACTATCTTGCTTCAACAGAAATAAAACCAAAATCCTGACCTTCAAGTTCAATTATGAAAATCTGACCTTGAATGAACAAATCATAAATAACAATACCAGCATAAAATTTTTAGGTAAATACGTTGATGATAAATTACGATTTGATGACCATGTAAGGACCATAAACAAAAACCTAGCCTCGGGCTGCTATGCAATCAGAGTTATCACTACGGAACTCGGAACAAAGGCAGGCAGAATGGCTTACTTTTCTCTCATTGAATCACACTTAATGTATGGCATTTCGTTCTGGGGTTTTTGCTGTTATCAGCTAATGAGCTCAGTATTTGTCTTACAAAAAAGAGCTCTCAGATATTTATCAAAAGCTAAGTCCAGGGATCACTGTAAACCACTTTTTATAAAACATGGAATTCTGACCCTATACAGTATTTTTATCCTTGAGACAGTGTGCTTGATGCATAAGAAAAAATCCAATATGACAATTGTAAGACCATATAATACTCGTCAAAAAGACGACTTACCCCTACCGCTACCAAAAACGACATTAACCAAACACTCTCTCATATTTGAGAGTAAANTGGAAGTGCGAACTAATGAAATTCACTGCAGTTTACTTCGAGAGACCACAAATATCACATGTCAGTACCTCCGTTAAAAATAAATTGATCAATTTACATCTATTGAAAATAATCAATATAAGTACCCAGAGTCGAGATTTTCAATAATATTGACTTCCATTTATATCTCATTCATTTCAAACATACAATGTATTTTGTAGTACATGCCTGAAAATGAGCATACAAAGGCAACGAAAAGCAATAGATTGCTAGCAACAAAAAGAAGCTATGAGGAATCATCTACAATTTAAAAAAATACCTATTAACAGCATACTCTTCCAAACTGAATTCTTTAAAATATCTCTTTATTAATTCACGATCTGTTCTAGAAGTGAAACATATGGTGAATGTTTATTATGCCCAAGTCGAATCTAGACTCAGATATGGCATTTTCCTATGAGTCAATGTCAATGTAAGTGAATTTCAACTTTTTAAATGTCTTTTTTGATATAAATTTTTCATTTCATTTCATTGTACTAATTTACCTGTCGATTGACAATTCCAATACATGTGAAAGAATGGAAATAAATATTGATTGATTGATTGATACTCTATTTTTTTCAGGACGAAAGTAAAAATTGAGTTTCGAAAAATGTTAGGTAATGGTAATGTGTACCCTTTCACTGACGGCAGAATGTTTTTTTTCAACAGAAAAAAAAAGTCAAACTCCTGTTGTGCGAGATATTTTCTCTGTGGACAATTCTTCAATGTAGATTCATCAAGAGAGAAGTAAGGGTGTTTCGAAATAACTAATGTGCCAACTAATTTTCAAGGCAATACAAATGTGTGGAAGTTAATCACTACTCAAAATGACAAGATTTCTCAATGCCTTTCTTTTATGAATATGGAAGCCTTGTCACAAATTTATTGATCTAAATTTTTATAAAAGATATCGAACAATATTTGTATTCAAGAACTGATGAAAACAAAGAATTTTTATTGAAATATATATACAACAGTAAAAAATTCTTAAATAATGAAGGAATTTGTAAAACTGTAGAAACAATTTTGCTGAAACGCTGTTTTCAAAACTTGAATCGATCAATCTTCAACTTTTTCTAGCTCATTATTTGAAAAAGTATCTTACTGAAAAAAAATCGAAACACTTAGAAATGATTTTAAAATGGTTTTTCCAAACTACAGCTGTTGCAAACTGTCTATAATGCAGCAAACAGAAAACAATAAAATAATGATAAGATATAAGCTAATGAGAGGAAAAATAAGAAAAATATTCCAATTAGAAAATAAATACTACGTACCATGGACGTGGGCTGAAACGCAGCGTGAAAAAAGCAAAAAGCAATTTAATAACAAAAAAAGCTATATAGCATGTCATTACACTTTACACTCAAAATTGTTTGCTTATTTAAAAAAAAACGATTTTGAATCACCGTTCTGATATTGGAGAATACCTGATAAAATGAAGCTGATAAATAAATATTATATAATTGTTGACATTAACAAATATGACTGAAAACACACTCATTCTGTTTTGACAATGGTCTTGTATATCTTGAAATACTTCAACATTTAAAGTGCTTTGGCACTAATTTCTTGTCTGACTATAGAAACTAACAAGATTCTTTTAATAATATAGATGAAATATTTTGAGACATCAAAGTAAAAACAATGACAAGGCAATAATTGAAGAAACACTAAAAAATGTACTTTCGATTCGATGGTACTCCCCAAGTTACACAACTTATTTCAAATAATCATTTATTTTTAAAAGATATTTAATGAAAGATTTTGATCAGTGACAGGAGCATGGTTCTCATTGGAGTAATCAACTCAACAGTATTTTCAATAACTCAGTTTCTCTAGGACTGGTCACCTACCTTATCCACTTTCATGGAAATCTGCACATCTTGGTAGGTGATTTCCACATGTTTGATGTTCTTCGCATAATTTCCTACTAATTTCAAAATATCAGCGGATATGTATTCTAGAACTGCTACGAGAAACAGGGACACAGTAGAATCGACTTTGTAAAGGAGAAGTTCCTGAAAAAAATATATATTATAATCATTGACTACTTACTAATTGTATACGAGTTCAGTTGATGAAAATATTCACATATACATTTTTTTGAATATTTAACCCTTCAATAAATTTGTACAAAAGCACTGAGCTTTGATAGTCTTGAACAGAATCGAATTTCTGCAAGCAAGATAGGAGCCTGTCTCTTCAGATTACTGATACCTCTTAACCCTCTTTCCCATTGGAACAATCTTTCACTAATCTTCTCATTCGTGCAAGTAATACAGTCTTGCTTTCCACTACCCTCTTTGAGGTATCTGCTGAAAGTGACGAATGTTCAATTGCTAGAGCTATCCTCGACCGTGCTAATCAATCTATTTTGATAATCAGTGATTTTCTGTACTATGAAGCCAATAAATAAACCAGTTTTGCCTTGAAGAGTTGAAAGATCTTCTGTTCATTATTTCACAGCCCATAGATGATTTCTAAGATGTAATATGGCTACTACAGTAGACATGTTGCTCTCGATACCACATTCGGTTGGGTCTTATTAGATTGATAACTCTTTCCCTTCGTCTGTGCCTCCTGTGACTAATGCATTTTTTGTTAACACAGAATTTTCACTCGAACATTAAGTAAAACAGTTTTGAGAACATGCATAACGGCAGCAGTCTACTTGTATTTATGTAAATAGATTCAAAGAAAGAAACAATACTCAAAAAAAGGTGATACGGTTTAGACAAATACTCATATTTAGGTTTGACATGGGAGGTAGTATTGTTGAGACCAAAAGGGGCCCTCACAAGATATTTGCCGGAATTCATTCGTGCAGGCCTGAAGTTGTTTTTAGGAAAATAAACAATGCAAAATCATGTTGTTACATTTCTTGCTTGGTACTTTACATTACTTCAGATCCTGTTATATACATAAAAACAGAAACAAAATTTCCTGTCATAATGACATCCACAATTACGCAACAAGATTCAGTCATCATCTTTACACACCCCAAAATCAGTTGAATATATGGCCCTATTTCCAATGGAATTAGGGTTTACGATCACCTATTGACAAAAATCGATCACGAGGTATCTTACTTCAGATTCAGAAAAAAGCTGAAAACATACTTACTGGATAACTCTTATTATACAATGGACGAGTTCTTATCTTCGTAGTGAACTCTCTTTGCTCCTTATAGCATTTTGAAGTACATGTATTGTTTGCCTAATCTATGTTCAAATTTCTTTTGACTTGTTTTATGCTTTTTAGGTCTTTGAAACCAAAGCATTAGTACTTCAGTCTTTCCAGAGAAAATTTTGATAAGGGAAGTTGCTGAAGCACTTTGAATTCTGTCTTATATGTTTCAAGTATCACCAAACCCCTGAGAATACGAACTAACTTGGTTTTTCCCCGAGTATATAATAGTGATAAGTTGTTTTTATAGGCTTACTTACTTTTTGTAATAGATTATGAATTCTATCCACTGGCAGTTGCAATACTGACTTCTTTTTTCCTCTTTCCAGAGCTTCTTGGGCCTCTTTCAGAGCCCATTTATCAATAGGTGTAGGAAAAGTACTTTGTACCCTATATTCAACATCCTGTAAAAATGTTTGAAAGTTACAAACTATAAAAATAATTCACTTCTAAGTGGGAAACTCTTAAATTCTAAAGCTTTGAATGTACTAAAAGTTACATATAATCAATATAAGTATAATAACGTATGCTGACTATTAGTGAAACTTGCTCAGTACTAAAATTTTACCTGCACTGTATGAGGACTTGGTTTTGCACAAAGCATTGCAAGCAATCGCAAACACAGGCTTTCAACATATTCTAAAGCTTCTTGACGTGCTCCTAGTGAAGGGTGCACCTGTTCCAAAACCTGAAAGATTAAAAAAATTTAAATGAAGCCCATGTTTTTCATGAGATGAAATCATAACAAAACGGGGTGGAGCAATATGGAAAAATGCCACCTTTGCTTTTACTACTGGTCTGCCCATCCACTTATCTAGGGACATAAATACCAGCCTGTGGGCCCACAGTTGACACTTAGCTGTAGGCAGATTGAAACCCTTGCAGGGACCAGTGACGAGACCTAAAGGGGTGGGCAGATTGAAACAAGTCACCAAGGACTTAAAACATAGTAGGGAGACTGAGACCTCAGTGTAGTCATACTTTCTTTAAAATGGTTCCAAAGCCGAAATACTGAAAACACAAGACACGGTTCAACCCAGACTTCAGATTATCTCTTAAATTGAGATCTAATTTTGAATGATCAGAGTAGTACTTCTCTATTCATCTTTTTATTTTCATAATATAATTTTCCAGCAGCTTGACTGCATTATTCTTTCTTGAGAGTAACATGGTTAAAATTTCATCTCTCTGTATCCTTCAAATCGAGAAAAAAACTGATTTTTGTGTGAAAAATCATATTGTTATAGGCGTGTTATTATAAATCAAACATCTGCATCCACCCAATGATTCTACATCTGGATAATCTACACAATGCCCTCAAATACTCATTAATACTTTTCCTTTCAATAGTAGTTTTATTTTCTTTGTGTAAAAATGAAGTAGAAAGCCCAATTGAGAAGTTGCGACTTCTGAGAGTTGTCGTTCTTAGGAGGAGGGGGCAACAGCTGGTTAACGGAAAATCAGATTTTTTCAACAGTGTCAGATATTTTGAAAATGTTTAAAAATTCATGTAAAACGTCCCTTTAAACTACTTATAGAAAATAATACAAATAAGTTAAAGACATATATTTTCATCCAAACTTCTGAATCCTGTGAAGGGTGCCTTGCTTCTCGGAATCCAATTGTGCAAATAAAAGCGATTTCATTTTCATATCAATACTCTCATTTATTATATTGAATAGTTTTCAACCTAACAGGTGTATCTCTCAAATTTTTTTGAATATTGCTATACAAACTCGGATAGAAAAATAATTTCTAAGTAATTTATTACCTGCAGAAGGAAATAGTTGTTAAATGTAGACTTTTCCCTTCTGTTTCACCCTTCATATACTTGATATTGGAAAATAAAGTTTACAAAAAAAATTAAACTCTATGAATTAGAATCAATAATGGGAAAACTGAAAAATATTATCATTTGAAGAAAATATTTAAAAAAAATAAATTTTTCAATAAATTTTTTAGTACCTAATCAACTGTGCGTTTATTCATTTTTTGTTGATGATCATGTTTTTTTTTTGACTGATTGATTCCAAAATTCCTATGAAAATAAAAATATCGAAACTCACTTTTTTCAGTGCAGCCGTCAAGAGGCCTTTCCATTTCGAACGATTCTCTTCTGATGTGAAATCGTATATATTATCTGCTGTGACACCAGAAGTATTCATATTTATTGGAAATGAAATATGAATAGCACTCTAGTAGGAACTAATCACAAATGCCATTGTCTTGAATTATAAAGAAAAAACACAAAAATAAATTAAAATATCACTTTATGTTCGCTACATCTACGTTACGTTAAGCACTTTCATCGTCTTCTACGAAAGCCTTCGATTGTGGCAGAAAAATTCGCACCTTTTACATGGAGACTAGGAAAAAATATGATCAGTTGACATTCGCCATTTTAGAATTCTATTTTTCTCGTATTACATTTCTCACTTTTACATTGTTGGTCCCATATATCTGTCTTTCTTTATTGAATACAAAGCAACCACTGCGCATACTGTACGTTGCTTCATCTTTTTTTCACTTGTTCAATGACGTATTGAACTTTTCTTTTTCTACATATGCATAAATAGAACAGTATTTCAGGAATATGCGCATTGGATCGAATCGATAAGCGACTTCTCTTCTTCTTAGATTTATATCAATTTAGGAACCGAAAAAGAAAAAGTATGTGAAAGGGTAGTTGAAAGGAACGCCTTGAAAACAAATAATTTCAGTTTCAATTTGAAATACAGAGTTCAGTGATTCACTTAATAAAAAATGTATCACAAATAATATAACTCCAAAGTTGAATATTTGAACAGCTGTTAAAATATTTTCATTTAAATTATTTCACACAATGACTTGACATGACTTCTAAAAGTTATTCATCTTTTCACCAGGAAATGTATGGTCATTATTTTTTAATGGAATATACCAACCCACATAATCAACTCCTTGTTTTCAGTTTTCAAACCAAAGAAGTATTATTTAATTATCACTTTCTATTTCAGTCAGTTCAAACCAATAGTGTGAAGTTGTGTACCCAATTGTCGATTTTCAGCATTGTTGGAGTAGTTCAAGTAAGTGCCTCAACATTTCCACTACACGGGTAGTTTCTATCATATTCAGAAGTACAAAAGAGTTTGTACTTTCTGAAGACACTAACCAAACATTGGTAAAACATTGAGAAACTTAGGTACCTACTCAAGTGAACTGCGGTCAACAATCTCGAACAACACTTTCCTAATTTAATTACCAACAAACCTTCAGTAAGTGGAGATAAATATTTTGTACTTATCTCTTAGGAAATATAATGAACTAGACTAACTTAGCTTCAAGATTGTGAATCGGTATGTTTCTCAATAATTCGCCCATCTTAATCTTTGTCAATTAAAATTCGAAATTGAAATTCCATACGGATATTAAAATTAAACAGTGTGATCCATTATGATTGTGTATAAATTATTTTTCATTCTCTCAGAATATAGGTCACAAAAACTACTAAAATATTTCAAAGAATGAAATACCTTATTCATTTCGAAAAATATAACAAATTGTTATTTAAAATTAAAAGTCCAATTTTGTATATACTTAACGCATATACAACTGAGTAATACATTCTTTGGAAGCTGATGGAACGATTAGTCAATTGAAAAGCAGAGCAGATGCCCAAGCAACTAATTCACAATATCTCCCAACACCAACTAATCAACGCCCAAGAAGCAGTTACATCGAAGGTTTCCAATTTTGCTATAGCTCACAAAAAACTACCATTCGAGGAGAAAATCTCTGGCACAGAAGCAGCTGTTGACCACCTGCAAAAAGAAGGGGCCGAAGGAAGAACTATGACAAAACGTAGCCAGGGTAATCAAAACCAGTAAATCTTTTCAACTAAATCTATACTACAAGCAAACAAAGACAACGATACCGTTGTTATGGACACAGGAATACACCAGTAAAAAAGACATACTCAAAAATAAGGCAAAAAAACAAATAACTCGGGACCCTATAACCCATTTGGAGAAAACCACCAAAATAAAGAGTCACCAATAGACGCCAAAAACCAGAAACAAAGTATTATCAGAGAGAAGTCCAGTCGATGTCAGTAGCAGTAGACTGTCAATGACGGTTTGAACATCCCCTCCACTCGATCTTAACCTTGAACGACATTAAAAAACCTTGAGTTATGTTCACTTCGAATGACCTTGAATGACCCTAAACGACTAATCACGAAGTTTGACCTTGACAATCAACTCTGTCCTTGGTACTTGAGCTTGGTCCACATTCAGTATAGATAAACTAAAGTATTTAAATATGTGATGAGTATTTGCTGATTTCCAAAATGGCAGCAACAAGTATCTACCAATCCAAGCAGTGAACGTTGTTGTCGTCATAGAGGTCAACATATTTCATATCTCCAAACCGTAATTTTTTTTTTTTGGAAATGGATGACCAATTCGAAATCCTACATTGAAAACATTAATTTCGTAAAGCTTCAGAGCAGATACTAATATCATTATCGATTATAATATTGACGAAATGTAGGTTAGTCGGTAGTCGGTCGGTTCGACGTGGGTGCTTTGTTCACTCACTCGATTCGACCGCCGTGTTGGTCGGTGGTTCAAGCCCGAGGCTGAACGATCAATTTTCACTTGCTATCGTCCAACCCGTGTTAAGAATCACACGTTAAAAGGTAAGACCTCGGTAATCTTTAGCTCGCACAAGTTTTGACTTCTAGAGTTGTCATTTGTAGAGGTCCTACAGCTGGTTAACAGAAAAACAGATTTTTTTTCTACACGATATGGTAAGTCCAATCAAAGAAGTTTTATTGAATAAGAAAAGTTATACTCCTTTCAAAGCATGGCTTCCAAAAGGGGTCACAGATAATTTTCGAAAGAAATTATTCAAGAAGTGAAAGTCAAAGTTATCAGAATGATTATACTGATGTCAAGATCCGCTCTTTGGTAAAATCTGATATTTTAGATTGAATGTATTGAATATAACTTCAATCTCTTTGTAAATAGTGGAAATATGGTATATTTATAAGAAATATGTATCAACTCTCTCGTTTCAAACGTGGTTGAATTTCGTTTTTTTTTTTCCCAACAAAACTTTCAAACTAATTAATGCGATTTGGATATTTCCAAAGGTCTCTCTTCTACTACAAATATATGGATGCACTAAGGAGCCGAAGATTGGCCAGATTGGATTCTGCTATTGGGGTAGCATTGGAGTTAGCAGATCTGAGTTTTGATGACTAACAGTGAATGTAAGTTTTGATGCTGAAGGGGTGCGAAAACTTTTGGAGCGCAGCAAGAAATATGAGCTTGGTATGGCAATATGTTATAATTAGTTGTATGGAACTGAAAATTTTGATGAATTTCGTTATCTGATGATCGAAGCAGACTTGTAGCCTTTCCTTTCTGACATATACTCCTACCTACCGCAGAATACTATAGAAAAATATGAATTGAAATCATAGAAAGATGTTAAAACCATATATGCTTATATCTATTTGGTTTATGAATAGAAGGCACACGTGGGAGAGGGCGAGAGTGTAGCTTTGAATAATGACATTGGGAATAATTGAAATATGTCATATAAATGATATGTATTATGAAAGAAACCATATTGAAACCATATTTGCGTAAATCTATTTGGATTATGAATGAAAGACACAAAACATATTGATTGTTTCATTCGCCTACATCAAACATTCACGTGTCAATCTCATCATATTCCAGTTTTAACAGAGTCACTTATTGCATTTTTTAAGACAAAACAGCATCGTGAAGAATGAGTTCATTTTCTTTGGTGTTTGCTGGAAACTTTACTTTGCGCGTCTCAAATTTTATTTTAAAGTCAACAGTGGATAGCATCGAGTTGGTGGGAGCAGTTGAAAATGAATAGTGGGTTATAGCGAAAGCTGCCAATATCCATCATCGATTGACTCATAGCTTTGTCATAGTAATTACTTCGGATTGTTTCATATGCATATTAGGCTGTCGAAATCCAGATTCTGACACTCATATGGGTGTTATATCTCACTATACTTCAGAGTTCAAATATAGATGAATATTATCAATATTGCATATATGAATTTTTGATATACTCTCGGATTGGTCGGTGTTTTGGAAACCGATAATGATGTTTCGAGGTCTTTCCAAACTGTTGGTTGTCTTCACGGCCCATATATCTGTTTAAAATATAATATTTTTCCGTTAACCAGCTGTCGTACCCCTACACAACCCTCAGGAGTCGAAACTTGTGCGAGCTAAGGATTAACTAGGTCTTACCTTTCAACGGGTGATTCCTAACACGAGTTGGACGATAGCAAGTCAATTCGAGTAAGTGAACAAAGCATCCACGTCGACGACCGACCGACCGATCTGATGCTATATCACGAAGTGTGGGTACTTCATGAAGATCTCATATACGATAAGCCACTTTCACTTTAGTAGTATTATCACCTTCATTTATGAGGTTCAGTAGTTTTAGTTTCTGGCGGTTTTCTGTATCGACTTCCCCAATGTATACATTTTTGAATGAACGGGCTATAATATTAATGAGCTTTTGCTTTAAATCCAATATTGGTAACTTCACATCCCTCATTGTTATCTTCATCAAAAGTCATGAAATTCTTCAAGTATAATTTACCGCTGAATACATTGCTGACAGAATGTAATGTATCTTGTTCATTCACATCAAGCCCCCATTATATCGGTAGAAGCGAATTTGCATGAGTTTGTCCGAATGTTATATCGTTTTTTTTTGCATTTGTTTGAAGGTGATTGTTTGAAGGTGATTGACAATGTTTCGTGATGAGTTTCACTAGTTCGGACTTTTTCATCAAAAGTCATGAAATTCTTCAAGTATAATTTACCGCTGAATACATTGCTGACAGAATGTAATGTATCTTGTTCATTCACATCAAGCCCCCTTTAAATCCAATATTGGTAGCTTCACATCCCTCACTGTTATCTTCATCAAAACTCATGAAATACTTCAAGTATAATTTACCGCTGAATACATTGCTGACGGAATGTAATGTATCTTGTTCATTCACATCAAGCCCCCATTATATCGGTAGTATATAGTATATATGAGTTTGTCCGAATGTTATATCGTTTTTTTTGCAGTTCTTTGGATTTGAAGAATTTTTTAATCACCTTATTAATCATCAACTTCGTATGTTCCTCTTGGAATTGTTATCATGGTGAGGGGTGAGTTGTTAATTGTTTGCGAATAGCCGATAACGTTATTCTCCGCATCTACATTAAATATGGAGTTGTAGAAGTAGAAACCATGTAATCCTAGTCCTTATAATTACTAGCGGTATCCAATTCGATGGGTAGGTAGAAGTTTGCGCTCAGCTCGATAGAATACCCTGACAATGAAAACTTATGTAAAATGACTGATGAACTTTCATTGGTTCCCATCCATTTATTACTGACAGCAGAAATTGTG